CTTTAGAGAGAAGTGCATCTTTACGGATTATGATTATAATGAAAGAGTTTTTGATTTGTTTTATTTCATTAAGTAGTAATTTAAAGCTTTCTATAGATATATTTATCATGTCTGTGAGGCATGTATTCGCTGAGTATCGGTTCATTTTTGTGAAGCGCTCCTGTTCAAGACCGAGATGGTAGAAAGCGCATCATGTTTGTTTTCTTTATTTTATAAAAGCACAACGTTTTGTTGATATTGTGAGTGCACACAAATAAAAGTAGACCCTTTACCGTTACGAATGATGTATTACTCTTACCTTTATGAGCAAAAATGACGGCGTATCCACTAAAAAAAATGCAAGCGATTGCGCTGGCGCCTCCATGTCCTGCAAAGCGTCTCCGCACAAACTATTGGATATAGTGCACATTTATCTAGGTTTAACGTTTAAACATTGTTATATGCTTGAACTGTTTTATATCTATAGATTTTATTTTAGGCAAGTCGTGATGATTTCAGTAGGCTCACTGTCTGCCGCTGGCCGCTTGGTCGTTACTTTAAAAAAACAAAAACTTATATTTAACGAACAGAAAACGCTCCAAACGTTTTTTTTAATTAACTTCTTAAAAAAAACGAAACGAAATATAATCACTTTGCTATTACATACAAAACTGAACTATTTTAATAGCTGAAACAGTAGTATAAGCTGTTTTGGGAGAAGGGGGAAAAAAAGACGGGCTCGGGCCGGTAATTCTGATAAGCTGTCGGACACGGGCCGGGCTATAGGGCCTGAGCGTCTCGGGCCAGGGCCGGGCTAGGGCCTAAATTTGAGGCCCGTGCAGGGCTCTAGGTTCTATTGTATTTTTGTCATGGCGACACGGTGTTGAGAGAAGAATATGCTCAGCCACCTTCCGCCGAAGCTTCGAATATTCAGTGTTGATTACTACCGAAGCTTCGAAGCTCAAAAAATGGTATTCGGACCAGCCCTAGTGATTTTCACTACTGTAATACTATTACTAGTATATAGCACATTATTTATTGCTATTAATTGCTAAATAAAATAATAAAAAGCGATAAAAATAAAATAACTACTTTTAATATAATAATAATAATAATAATTACAACAGCAATTCATATATTTAAATTATAAGCAAAATACCTATTTAAATAATAATAATAATAATTCTATATTGTTTTATTTAATAATGTTTTTTTCTTTCAGCTGACGCTGGAGTGAAAACATTTCTTCACAAAACTCATCTACATAACGATTTGAAGTGTTCAGCATGCAGTTGATCAGGTTGATCTCGGCTATTAGGAGGCAGTAAACAGGAAGGGGGTGATTGGAAATGCTAATGTGTTAACACACAGGTCGGTCCGGTCCGTGACATCTCACCTGCAGAGGAAGCGGCTCGTCGTCGTGTGTGAATTGGTGTTCAAACACAATGGCTGCCAAGATCTTGCCTGACTCTGGGTCAGTTTTCACAAACTCCTCAAACTGCTCCTCTGTTTCAAAGCCACGCACTGGAAAACAAGATCAAGACACATCATTAATAGGTGTAGAATTTTCACACCTGACATGAAGAAAACACCTAAAAAAAACTCCCAAAACACTTGAGCATCATGACAGCAAAACAATCAATCCTCAGACTAACTTTAAATGTTTACATTTTTGTGTGAGCAATTCATTGCACAAAAAGTTTCAAATGTGTATGATTATCATGCATTTTATGTCATAAAATTCACATTCTTTATGCATATAATTTCAATTTTAAAATAGAAAAAAAAATGTATTATTATTATTTATCATTTTTGCATCATAACATAACAATAACATAACAAATAAAAAAGTATTATTATTAATAATGTGGCATCATGGCCACAAAAACACATTCATCAGACAAATGCTAATTGTTCATATTTTTGTTTAAATATGCAATCAATTCAATGCTCATTCATTTTAAAACATGTTTAATTATGTAAATATAGTCCAAAAAGTTAATTTTCTTTATGCAAAACAATTTAAATTGTAGTATCATAATTTTACGACCCAGACCGCCTTAGCAAATTGTTCATATTGTTGCATGCAATCAATTCAGTGCGCAGAAGGTTTGAGGGTTAAACTGATAAAAATAGATGAATCAATGAGATATGTAATCATTTAAGCAATCATACAAAACCACGTGACCTTTAAAGCAGATGTGTGGACACTGGCTCACTGTTTGACCTTTAAAATAATTGATTTTAGGATTTGTCAGCCTCCTGGAAACATACAGTATGTTAATGATATCACCATCGCTGGTGGGCTTTTTTTTTCCAAGAGAAAATAATGTTAAAAGGAAAAGCTAATGAGACACTAGTTAAAACTGGGAATTCAGCCAGGTCACGACTGGGATTTACCAACTAAATCCAATTAAACACACACACACTCACTCACACACACACAAAATCATCTTCAAAGCAATATTTGACCAAAAAAAGAAAAGTCTGCCATTATATCACCCTCGTGTTGTTATAAACCCATATTCTTATTTATTTCTGTGCAACAAAAAAAATGTGAAAGCATTTTATTATTCAGATTTTATAAGGTACTTTTTACTGCCATTTTATTGTTCTTTGTTGTTCCACAAAACACATAACATCAAAAAGGGTTTGACAGATGTGAGGGAGAATACATAACGACAGTTTGCATATCTGGGTCAAATGTTGGTCTAACATGTAACCAACTCCTCACATGATTCTTTATTTTGAGTTACAGTATCTCTCTCTATGAAAGCAGGAGTTGTCAGCTGAGCCGGTTAAACTGGCTCAGAGAGAGCGACACCTGTCTCCTGTAATGTCTGCAGCCCTCTGTCCTGTCCTGATCGGATCTCCCCGCACCACGAGGATCAACAAACAAATTCAGTGTCCTCAATTACGTCACACAACCAGGAAGCATCTGTGCTACACGTGTTCTGTTCTGTTCTGTTAGTGACAGTGTTGTTATTATTAACTACCAAAATACTACCAAAATATTTCAATCTGTTCTGTTAGTGACAGTGTTGTTATTGTTAAC